CCCGCCCCGCCAATCCCTCGCGGTGCCGCCCGCCAGGCCACGCCCCCCTCGGCCCCGCCCCGCGCGCGGACAAAGGAGCGCCGCCAGGGGGCGCCGCGCCGCCACGTGACGGCACAGGCCCCTCAGGGCCCCGCCCACCCCCGCCGAGAAAGGCCACGCCCATGGGGCGGGACCACGAACACGCCCCTGTGTGAGGCCACGCCCACGTGGGGAGGGCGAGGGGGCCCGGGTCGCGACAGCGGCGACACCTGTGACAGCAGCGACACCAGCGGCAGTAGTGACACCAGCGACACCAGTGACACCAGTGACACCAGCGACACAGTGACACCAGAGACATCAGTGACACCAGCGACACCAGTGACAGCGGCGACACCAGCGACACCGGCGGCACTTGTGACAGCGGCGACAGCACTAGCATCAGTGGCACCAGCGACAGCAGTGACAGTAGTGGCACGCACCAGCGAAACTGGTGACACCAATAACCCCAGCAGTAAAACCGGTGACACCGGTTACACCCGCAACACCAGTGACAGCAGTGACAGCAGTGACAGCAATGACAGCAGTGACATCTCTGACAGCAGTGACAGCAATGACAGCAGTGACACTTGTAAAACCAGTGACACCAGTGGTACCAGCAGAACCAGTAAAACCAGTGACACCAGTAAGAGTGACACGAGTAAGAAGTAACACCAGCAACACCAGTGAAACCAGTGGCACCAGTAATGCCACACCAGTGATCCTAGGACAGGGGGTGACAGGGCTCGCCACACACGGCGCTGGGCGTGTCGCTGGGCCCAAGATCCCATTTTCCAGCATTTTTTTCCTCCCTGGGGATTTGGGATTTTTCAGTCGCGGTGCCCAAATAAGGGAACGATGGGAGAGGCTTTGGGACAGCAGCCGTGTGGGGACGGGCCAGGCGAGACACTGGGCTGGGAATGTCCCCGAGACCCCCCTGCCACCATCTTCATAGTCGAGGGGGACTCAGTGACTCCTCCAGTCCCCCAAAATCCCATTTCCTGGTGTAAAAAGGGAATGGCAGGAGAGACTCCAGGGATGGGGGAAAGGACAGGGGGAGAGAAGAGGGAAGGAGGACACACCCCCCTCCTTGGTCCTGTCCTGGATCCTGGCACAGCACCCTGATCCCAGTCCAGGATCCCAGCCCAGCACCCGCATTCCAGTGTGGGATCCTCATTCCGGTATATGATCCTAGCACAGCACCCACATGCCAGTCTGGGCCCCCCGGAACCTGTACCCACATCCCAGTCTGGGGACCCTCATCTCATGCTGTGGGACCCTCATCCTGCTGTGGGATCCTGGCACCGCAGCCACATTCCAATGCTGGATCCGGGCACAGGTCCCAGCGTGGGCCCCTGGGACCAGCCTCACATCCTGGTGTGACATTCATGTCCTGATGCGGGACCCTGGGACCTCCACACGCATTCCAGTGTGGGATTCTGGAACCCGCATCGATGTCCCGGAGTGGGAATGTGGCACAGCACCCTCATTCCGGTACAGGGACCCTCATTCCGGTACAGGGACCCTCATTTCGGTACAGGGACCCTCATCCCGGTACAGGATTCTCATCCCAGTACGGGACCATGTCCCAGTACGGGACCCTGTCCCAGTGCGGGACCCAGGCCCGGCACCCGCGTCCCAGCGCTCCCAGCTCTCCCAGCGCCGCCCGTCCCGTGCCGGTGCCTCCCGGCCGCTCCCGCCCCCGCCCCGCCCGGTGCCGCCCGTGGGCGGTGGAAAGTGCCGGGGGGGGGTGGAGGGGGAAGGAGGGGCGGGCGCAGGGCGGCGGCGGCGGCCCCGGGATCGGGATCGGCCCCGGGATCGGGATGGCGGGGCCGGGGCTGGAGCGGTACCGGCTGGCGCTGCTGGCGGCGCGGGAGGACGTGGGGAACCCGCGGGCTGGGACCGACTGGTGAGAATGGGAGGGCGGGGGGCACCGGGAGAGGGAATGGGAGCCGGGAATGGAGAGTGGGAACGAGGACGGAAGGGAGGACGGGGAAAAGGGTACCGGGAATGAGGAGACGGCACAAGGAACCGGGGACGGGGACGGGAACGGAAGAGGGGACCGAGACTGGGAACAGGCACTGGGACAGGCGCCGGACACAGGACCGGGAACGGGAGCAAGAACCGGTACCAGCACGGGCCAGGGCGTCGGGGTCGGGCCGAGAGGCACCGTTACCGGCACCGGGACGGGGCCTCCCGGGAGCACCGAGGTCTCGGCCGGGACGTGCCGGTTCGCCGGGGGGGGTGTCCCAGGACTGAGCTCTCCGCGCCGCCGCGCTGAGAACCGGGAGTCCCACCCGGTCTCGCCGCGTTCCGCCCGGTCCCTCCCGGTGCCGCCGGGCTGGGAGCGGCGCCTCCGCCCGGGGCGGGGGCAGGACGGGCCCGGGGGGGTTGAGGTAGCGGGGAGCACCCCGGGGTGGGGTAAGGGGAGTTCTGCCCGGCTGTACCGGGGGGACGCCGGTCCCGGGACGGTCTCTGGCTGGGAGGCTCAGTTCGGTGCCGGTGCCGAGGGGCTGGAGCCGGTGTCCTCCAAAACCCCCATCCCGGGATGGGGGGCGATGGCACCGGGGCTCATAGGTCTCGCAGCCTCCCGGAGTCACTGGACCCCCCGTCACGGTGGCCACCGGCCACCCGGGCATTGCCCTCTGCCCCCGGAGTGCGGCTGGACCCGCTCCAGCGCCGGCTCCTCCCGGCGCCCGCCCGGCCGCGTGCCGGGCTCTGTCCCGCCATGTGGCGCCGCAGCCTGTCGCGACATGCCGTGACATGCGTGACGTGCCCTGCCGCGCCGTGCCCCACGCGTGCTGCCGGAGCCGTGCCCAGCCTGTTCCGCGTGCGCCCCGAACCGGAGCCACGCGGGAACAAAGAGAGGCAGAGCCGCTGGAAATGCCCGGGGGGGGAGGGTCCCATCGGGATGGGGCCCCCTGAGCCTTCCCATGGCCGGGCGGGGGGTCTCGGCCCCTCCGCATGGGGAGGGGGGTCGCTGGAGGGGGCCGTGCCGCTCCGGCGCTTCCCACATTCCCATTGTCCCGGGGGCGGATGCTGCCGGCGGCACTTCCATGAATTCATCCCAAGCTGGTGGCATGAGGGAACACGGGGGGTGCCCAAGCCTGGCAGATCCCCCACCTTATGTGACACCCGCTCTGATCCCCCCACCTTGACCCCCACCCTGACCACCCCTTCTCCCCCCCAGGGCCGTCTTTGGCTATGAGAAGCACCACGACCTCAAGCTCCTGGATTCCGGAGGTACCGGGAGCGACGCTGCCGGGGAGTATTGGGGGGTTCCCCGAGTTCCCCCGTACCCCCTCTGACCCCCCCTCCTTACAGCCGGGGGGCCGGATGAGCTCGCTGGAAAATTCTCTGTGGGCAGCGTCATGTACGGGCTGTGCCGGGTCCCCGATCCCGGTTCTGGCACCCCCAGGATTGTCCTTATCAGCTGGGTGAGTGTGGGGGGGCAGCTCAGAGGGACCCCGGGATGGGATCTCCCCGAGCTGAGCAATGGGTGCGGTGCCAGGTGGGGGAAAAAGTGCCAGAATCGCAGCGGGCGGCGTGTGCCGGGCACCTGCCGGCCATCCGGAGCTTCTTCAGGGTGAGTAGGGGGCGTAGAGCCCTCGGGGGGCGCTGAGGGGGTGTGTCGGGGTCCCCGCCCCCAAATGTTCCCCATTTCTTTCCTCCCTGTCCCCCCCATCCCGCCGCCCCGACCTTTGCCTGTGCCCGGGCGCATTCCTGGCGCTGCTGACTCAGCCGCCGCTTTCCCAGTGCTCCCAGTCTTGGCCGCCGTGCCGGAGCTGTGGTTGGGATCCCTGCCCCCCCATCCAGTCCTGACGGGGGGGGTCCTGCCCTCCCCATCCCCCGGAACAGCTTCCGGTGATCTGTCTGGGTCCTTGATCTAGATCCGGCCCCACATCTGGATCCAGTCCCACATCTGACACGTGGGAATTGTGCCGACATTCCCGAGGGAGTGTGGATCCATGCGGGGGGGAGGGAGTGGGCCGTGGGAGGGGTGACACGGTCCCATCCTGTCCCCTCCGGTGGCAGGAGGCCACGGCCGTGATCAGCGCCCGCCGCTCCGAGGAGGTGACGCTGGAGGGGCTGCGCCGAGTGCTGGCACAGCTGGAGCCCCCCGCCCCTCGCCCTCCCAGGAGGACCCCCCAGGACACCCCGGAGCTGGTGGTGAGTGGGGGTCTCGATGTCCCTGCGGGAATGGGGAGGGCACCTGGGGGCGATAGGTGCTTGCTCCCCCTTCCCGGGGGTCTCTGGTCAGGGGGGTTCTGGGGGTCCCACCCTGCCCCCCTGTGCTCCTCAGGGAACCAACTACCGCAAGACCAACCCGGCACTGGAGCTGCAGCGCACTCAGCGCGATTCCTTCTGGGAACAGGCTGAGGTGAGGGGTCGAGGGGCTGGGGAAGGGCTGGGGTGTCCCCACGGTGCCCTGGTATCCCGGGGATGGGGTCACGGCTGCTGCCTCGGGCTGGCCTTGCCAGGGGCTGAGCCCAGGGGTCCCAGTGCCGAGCTTGGTGGGAATCCCGGTCCCGGTGTGGGGTGCAGTGGGGTCCTGGTTCCAGAGCCGAGGTCTGGGGGGGTCCCGGTGCTGACGCTGCCGAGACCAATGGGGCTCACAGTCCCAGTGCCGAGACCGAGGGGGTTCTGGTGCCGATGCTTGTGTGGAGGTCGGTGGGGTCCCGGTCCTGGTCCTGGTGCCGAGGCTGGGAGAGTCCCAATGGGAAGTGTGGCAGAGTCCCAGTCCCGGTGCCGATGGCAGTGGGATCCTAGTGCCGCTCCGGGTGCCGGGGCGGGTGACTTCCCGGTGCTGGTTCCCGGGGCTGATCCCGGTGCGTGCGCAGCGCGAGGAGCAGCAGCGGAAGGAGCAGGAGCGGCAGCGGGAGCGGGAGCAGCGGCGGCGCTGGGAGCGGGAGCGCATGGAGGAGGAGCGGCTGCAGGCGGCGGAGCGGGAGCGGCGGCTGCAGGAGCGGGAGCGGCTCATCGAGGAGCGGCGGTGAGGGACAACACTGGGCTCCATCCCTGTCCCCATCCATGTCCCATCTCCGTGTCCCCGTCCCCATATCCAATGGTGTTTCCCATCTGTGTCCCATCCTTGCCCCATGTCCCCATCCATGTCCCATCCCTGTGTCCCCGTCCCTGTTCCATCCCCGTGTCCCCGTCCTCATATCCCACCGGTGTTCCCCATCTGTGTCCCATCCCTGTCCCGTGTCCCATCCTCTTGTTCCACCCCTGACGCCCCAACTCCCGGCCCCGCAGGCAGGAGCAGGCGCGGCTGGATGCGGAGGAGCGGAGGAAGGAGCAGGAGCGATGGGTGAGTGGGAAAGGAGCTGGAATGGGGGGGGTCTCAGGGGGATCGGAGGGGGTCTGTCCTGGGGGCAGGGGCTCCATCCCAGCAGGATCCGGGGAGTCCCATCCCAGGGGGTTTCGGGGGGTCCATCCCAGGGAGGATCAATCCCGGGGGATTCAGGGATTCTCATCCCAGGGAGTTCTAGGCGTCTGTCCTGGGGGATCTTAAGGGGTTCATCCCAGGGGATCCGGGGTGTCCATCCCGCGGGATCGAGCGGGCCCACCACAAGGAATACAAGAATTTTATTTCAGGGGCATCCGGGGTGGGGGTCTAACCTGGGGAGGTGTGAGGGCTCTATCCTAGGGCATCCAGGGCTCCATCCCAGGAGATCCAGGATCCATCCTGAAGGATCCATGTTTCCCATCACCGCCGTGTCCCGCAGGAGCAGCAGCAGCGGGAGCAGGAGGCGGCCGAGCGGGAGCGCGGGGGTCGCACCGGGGTCAGCGGGACAGCGGCCGTGAGTGCCGGGACCGGGTCTCTCCCTGCCCCCGGGGCACAGGGCCACGGGCCCTGCCGTGAGTGCCACACGGTGCCCTGTGCCACAGCCCCTCTGACCCCCCGATCCCGCAGGAAGCCGCCATCCTGGTCTCCCAGCGCACCCAGAACCCCCGGGAATTCTTTCGGCAGCGGGAGCGCTCGGGATCCACATCCACATCTCCCCTGCCCGGCAGCACCCCCGGTAGGTGTCATGAAAGGGCTGGGGGGCACGGGGGGGATCTGGGGGTCCCTGCTGATCCCCTGCCCCTTCCAGGTGCTCGCCGGCCCTTCCTGCGGTACCAGCGCAGCCTGACGGAATCCGCCTTCATCTTCCGCCGGCCGGAGCCCCCCCAGACCCCCCCGCCCGGAGCCTCCAGGGGGGCACCGCCCCCCAGCCCCCGCCGGCCGCCGCCGCCTCTGCCCCCCAGCCCTGTGGGCACAGGGACCACCCAGTGTGCCACCACCGGGACCCCCGCCAGCCCCATGGGGAGGGGCACCCCTCTCTCTGCCACTCTGGGGATGCCCCCCAGCCCAGCCCGAGCAGGGTCCCCCCATGCCACCAGTCCTGTGGGGACAGGGACCCCCCAGTGTGCCACCACCGGGACCCCCGTCAGCCCTGTGGGGACACGGACCCCCCAATGTGGCACCCTGGGGACCCCTTCCAGCCCAGCCCGAGCAGGGTCCCCCCATGCCATCAGTCCCATGGGGACAGGGACCCCCCAGTGTGCCACCACCGGGACCCCCTCCAGCCCAGCTCGAGCAGGGTCCCCCTATGCCACCAGTCCTGTGGGGACAGGGACCCCCCAGTGTGCCACCACCGGGATTCTCCACAGCCCCGTGGGAACAGGGACCCCTCCCTCTGCCACCCCAAGGAGCCCCCCCAGCCCTGTGGTGACGGGCACCCCCCAATGTGCCACCACTGGGACCCCCTGCAGCCCCATGGGAGCGGGGACCCCTCCCTCAGCCACGCTGGGGACCCCCGATTTTGCCACCATCAGGTCAGGGTCCCCCCCTGCCATGTCTGGGCCCCCTCCCAGCCCCCCCCGGATGGGGGTGCCCCCTGTCCCCTCTGGGTTGGGGTCTTCTGAAAGCACTTATGGGGTAGAGCCCCTCCCTCCTTCCAGCACTCCCGGCTTGGAGTCTCTCCCCAAGCCCCCCCGAGATGAGGAGGGGTCTCACCCGGACACTCCCCCCTTCCCCAGCCCCCCAGCATGGGAATCTCTGGGGCCACTGGTTGAGGATGTCCCCAGCCCGCGGGAGGGGCCCCCAATACCCCCCCACCCCGTGCAGGACCCCCAGGATTTGGGGCGCAATGGAATCGGGGGGCACGAGTGGGGGGGCTGGGAGGCCCCCTGGGAGCCGGGACCCCCCCAGGGGCAGGTACGGGGAGGGGCTGGGGGAAATGTGGGGGGAGCCGAGATGGGGTTCTGGGGTTCTGTGGGGCTGGGGGTGATGGGGGGCGTGGGAGTTGGGGGAGCTGCAGGTTTTGGGGTTGGGGGTCAGGCGGGGAACACAAGACCCTGGGGGCTGGTTCTGGGGGTGGGGATGGGTGGGGGGCAGGGTGGGAGGTGGGGTGGGGTCCCCCGGTGAATGGGGCGGGCTCAGCTGGAGGTGGAGAGACCCCTCAGGTCCCTCCCGCTTTTTGCAGGGGGATGAGCCCAGCGAGAACCTCGTCCTGCACAAGGCCACGCCAGGTACCCCAAAAACTCCCCCGTAAACCCCCCCAAATTACCCAACCTCTCCCAAAACTCCCCAAACCAAACACCCCAAATCTCACCCCCACTCTCCCCCCAGGCTTTGCGCTGCTGCTGGCCCGTGACGCCCCCCACCCACCGCTTATGGGGGGCCCCAGCCCCCCCACCGAGGACGAGGACCTGTCCCCTCATGCTGTGTAGCGGGGGAGCCCCAACACCTCCTTTTGGGGGGGTGGGGGTCCCCCATATTGCACCACAGCCCCCCTCCCCACTCACCCCCCAGCACAGCCTCCACTCCCCCACTTGCACCCCAAATGAGCAGCTTGGGGAGGGGGCAGCACCCCAAGACCCCTCCCCTCCCCTCACTGGTGGCAGCACAGGATGGGAGGGCACGGACCCCCCCCTCACCCGGGCACAGGGACCCCCACACCCCCCCGCCCCAAAATCACACACAGCAGCTGTTAAATAAATTTTAATGCAAATTATTAGTGAATATTATTAATTGGGGGGGGGGGGGGAGCTGCCGGGGGGGTTGTGTCCCCCCCCGGGTTAGAAATGAGGGAAAGCAGAGCTGGGGGGGGCTCTGTGTCCCCCCCGGGTTAGACCCTGAGCACCCACCCTGCAGTGGGGGGGGGGTCCCCAGCACCCACCCGGCAGTGGGGGGGGGGTCCCCAGCACCCACCCTTGTGGGGGGGGGCAAGGAAACCACCCCCCCCTTTTTGGAGTTTAGCCCTGAGCCCCCCCCCAGCACGGGGAGGGCAGAAATTCCAGTTTCTCCCCAAAAACAGAAGCCAGGAGCCCCCGACCCCTGTTGCAAGACAAGGGGGTCCATCCCCCCTGTCCCCCACTAAGTGCTGGGGGTCACACCCGGGACTGGAGGGGTCTGGGGGGGTCACGCTGGGGGGGCCCTGGGCTGCTGCTGCCGCTGCTGGAGGAGCTGGAATGGGGGGGTTTTGGGGGGCCCCCCCGACCCTTCAGGGTGCCGAGCCGGGCGTCGAGGGACAGGGTGCGGGGTCGGCTCCGCCGGGGGGGGCTGGGGCTGCGCAGGGGGGGGCCCTCGAACAGCGACAGCCACGGGGGGGGCCCCGGAGCACGGGGAGCCCCCCCGTGCCGTGTCAGGATGTCGGTCACCGCCGCGATGTCATCCGAGGGGTCAATAGCTGGGGGAGGAACGGGGGGGGGTCACGGTGGGTCAGGGGGATCCCCAAAACCCCCCCTGCAACCCCCATGTGGTGGGGGCTGTGAAAGGCCCCCTTCCCCAACACCCACTATCCCCCCCAAGCCCTCATGGATTCCCCTCACAGGTGATGGGGGATATTGGGGGTCCCTTCACTGCACCCCCCCCAGTCCCCATGGCCATCCTGGGGGTGCTGTGGCAATAGGGGGGGGCTGTCTCGGGCCACCCCCGTGTCCCCCCCGTCACCTGTCGCTGTAGTAGGAGCTGAGCAGCGCCCGGATCTCGGCTGAGACATTCTCCTGCAGCAGGAGCCCCTCGCCCGGGGGGGTCCCGGGGGGGCCCGGCGGGGCTGGGGGATGCGGGAGGGGGGTGGCAGAGCGGAAAGAAATGGGGGGACAGAGGGGGGGACACAGAGAAGGGGGACAGCAAGAAGAGCAGCGTTAGGGAGCGAGCAGAGAGCAGAGAGGGGGAGACAGAGCAGAACCCCCCCAGACCCCTCCTCCCCAGCCCCCCCAGGTCCCACTCACCTGTCTGGTGGTAGAGCGAGCCCTGGGGGGGCAGCGGGACCGGGGGGCGGCGCGGGGGGGGCTCCTCGATCCTCATCAGCTCCTCACAGCACTGCTTCCACTGGGCTGTGGGGACAGGGACAATGGGGGGCCCATGGGACAGAGCCCCCCAGGATCCCCCAGGGCTCCCGGCATGGGGATTGAGCTGGGACGGGGATTGCAGTGGGATGGGCGTCCCATTCGATGGGGTCAGCCTGGGATAGGGGTGCTCTCAGGACTGGGCTCCCACTGGGTTGGGGTTTCTGGGGTGATGGGATTCCCACAGGGATGGTTTAGGATCCTGCCAAGGTGGGGGTCCCACAGGGATGAGGCTTGGTGTCTTAACAACAGGGATCTCAATGGGACAGGGTGGTCCCACAGGGCTGGGAGGGCCCACAGGGATGTGTAGGGTCCCACAGGGATGTGTAGGGTCCCACAGGGATAATGGGGATTCCCACAGGTCGGGGTGGGGGGTCCCAGGGGTCCTGGCTCACCCAAGTCAAAGAGGTGCTGCCCAAAGGCTTCGAGCCAGCGCTGGGCCTCGGCCGCGCTCTCGGCCACCAGCGCGTGTGTCACCTCCTCCCCGCCCAGCCGGTTGGTGACAGCCACCCCGGGGGGCTGCCCGCGGCCCCCCGACTCCACTGCACGCACCCGCGTGTCCTGCGGCACCAGGGCACCTTGAACCCACAGCCCCATAGACCCCAGAGACCCCAGAACACCCCATAAACCTCAAACCACCCCAAGCCCCCCACAGCTCCCCTTTCCCCCTATACCCACAACTCCCCTATATCCCATCTCCCATACTCCCCATAACCCCATAGGCCCCCACACAGCCCCTGCCCCCCTGAGCCCCCAGACCACACCCTGTGCCCCCTGTGTCCC